TATATTTTTTCTATTGAAGTTCACAATTTCTCAAAATATAATTTTCCAAGTGCATATAGAACAATATTATATACTTATTTACAAATTAGTAAAGTTTTGAGCAAAATTAGAATGACAAAAAATCAGTATTGAGTGATTTGACATTTAAACTAGAACAATCTAAGTAACCCAGGGAGATAGATATATATTAATTGTATAATATTCTTCTCTAAAACACTATAAGTGAAATTCAAGATACTATCTACTTATTAGTTTTCATCTATAAATCTACTTCCTGCAGAAAATCTTATCCAAATCTAGGCATCATAGGAAGTAAGGCCATTAAAATTTATTTTAATGTAAAAGTTCAAATTGAAAAAATGCTTTGCTACAGAAAACAAAACATTTTCTACATTAATATTATCTCTAAGCTGTCACCTAGAAGGGTCGTTTTTGCATTTTCATTAAGGGATGGTAAAATTGATAACTTACAATAAATGTTATTAATCTGAATTCATGGGAAGAACCATCAATCTAGGTCACATCTCAAAAAAGATATTCAAGGCAGATTTTATAAAGCTTTTGAAATCTGTTGAAGGTTGGAAGATCATGTTCTAGGTCACGCATCTTAGAATTATTCCCAGGATCTCATGGAGCTCTCAGATCCTATATCAAGGTAGACTCTGAACACTAGTAGGATGGAGAAGGTGTCCCCCAGAATACAATCCTGAACCCCATGAGCTATGTGAAGTGGCTGCTTTTTCCTGCACTGCTGTATCAAATCCAGAGCATAAGCTTTATCTAGCAGGAGCCTTAGAAACTGCTGAAAGAAAGCCATGAGCTAGCTAGACCAACTGCAGGCAGGCCCACAGTGCTCATCTCTCTCCTCACATCTGCCCTCCACGCCTCTGTAAGCAAGCCTAATTAATAGATAATAATTCCTATTCAAAATCTTATAAGTAAGAGTATTGATTACACACAGTTTTTATAAAATGTAAAAGTTGAGTAAAGGAAACCCAGTATGTTTGATATATTTGTTTATTTATTTTTGCCTACAATATATGCACACATTATGAGTCTTTGGAGAGAACTGAGGTATAATTTATAATGCAGGAGTAAAGTAAAATTATTTTTGATTAGTTGAAATCCCGGGTAGTTCTTATTAAGCAATGCATGTAAGTAGATGATGGTGCTGCTATGCTTAGAAAGCATGGAGAAGTTGTAGATGTA